CATCCCCCCACTAAAAACTTCCCTATAAAGTATATGCATGATCCCCCCCCACCGTACCTTTCCCCTCATCAATCATTTTCGGGCGCGGGGGGGGGGCGGGTTGGGTGCGGGTGTGTTTTTCTGTCTGTCTGTCTCCCCCCCCCCCCCAACCTCCCTCTTCTATCTCTCTCACTCTCTGTCTGTCTGTGTGTCTGTGTGTGTGTGTGTGTGTGTGTGTGTGTCTGTCTGTCTGTCTGTCTGTCTGTCTCTCTCTCTATCTATCTATCTCCCCCCCCCCCACCCCGCTATATTTTTCTTTCGTTCTGTCTCTCTTTCTCTTTCTACCTTCCTTTTCTTCGTTCGCTGTCTTTCCCTGTAACGTTATTAGCGTCTCTGGTGTGATTTGTTTCTGGTTTTATCGTGTCTGTTCAGCCCCATTGCTCATCGGTGCTTATGTAACATGTCCAAGTCGATAATGTTGTAACTTCATAACGAAGTAGTGGGTGGCTGGTGGGTGTTCTGTTGTGGTCCACACTGTAATTACTCAACTTCAGTGGTGAGATTATCTTAGAATGTGCCTTGGGAGATGTGGGCGTTGTTGCAAAGGCGCGTTGAAAACTACACTTATTGATACCAAATGAATTCAGTTACTCTCTTTTATTCTCTTTTCTTCCTTTCCGTCGTCTTTCTGTTTCTCGCCTTTCATTATCCTTCTCTGTACTTGGCGGATATTTGTGGTTTACTTTTCCTCTCTTCGTCCCCCACTTTTTTCCGCGAAAACGTTCGTTAACGTAACGAGTACCGGTACGTAATAGATGAAGTTGCTTTTAACCTTAATTAATTTTGTTTGAAATGTGTTTTGTAAAAGATAGTTGAATAAATCTTAAAAGTCGGAGGTATTATGTATTAAAGTCATTTGAATGTAATCTGAAGTTCAAAGGATGGTTAAATGTCATTGAAATCGATTGAACATTTTTATGCTTCGAAAATAATTCGTTCAAGGTTACCTAGTTTTGAGATTTGAAGAGAAGGGATGAGAAGTGAAGAGAGAGAGAGAGAGAGAGAGAGAGAGAGAGAGAGAGAGAGAGAGAGAGAGAGAGAGAGAGAGAAACTTCAGAGAGAGAGAGAGAGAGAGAGAGAGAGAGAGAGAGAGAGAGAGAGAGAGAGAGAGAAAGAGAGAGAGAGAGAGAGAGAGAGAGAGAGAGAGAGAGAGAGAGAGAGAGAGAGAGAGAGAGAGAGAGAGAGAGAGAGAGAGAGAGAGAGAGAGAGAGAGAGAGAGAGAGAGAGAGAGAGAGAGAGAGAGAGAGAGAGAGAGAGGGGAGGGGGAGTGGGAGGGTGAGATGGGGTATACAGAGGTGTTATCAGGGAGTACTGATCAGTGCAACTTGTAGGTTTCACACGCATTGACTTGAGTTGTACAATCCTAGATCGTGTCATGGGCTCTGTTATTTGCGCTTTGTAAAACTTCGGTGCGATGCGAGCGCACTGTGGGGTCCCTTTGCTCGTCATTTAGCTCCTAATTGAGTCAAATTGTTCGCTCCAAAGTGAACTAGGATTACCCTAGTGCACTGGCTAGGTTATTAAACACAAGTCTATGATTTTGCACGATTACGTGAAGAGGGTTGTTGGCAGGTGCTGTGATGTGGTTTACTCCTTTTCCCCATCAAACATCTATTGTCATTATCTCTTCTCCCCCTTTTTTGTGTTTGCTATTCTCTTGTAACGCCTCTAATCTTCGGCACTTATATGATCTAATCGTGATGCAAGTGCCGTAAAGCTCCTACTAAAACTAACAAAATACTCGACCTATTAGTCGCCCGAACCCGCTTTAATGAAAGGGGAGCAAAGAAAGTAGGTCGATGCATCGTTATCAGTCAGGGGGTGATTCAGTGCGTGAAGGTTACAAGAAACCAGTTTTTCCCCCCTCTAAAATCTTGTTGTTGTTTTTTTTTTTCCACTTAAAAAAAGCAGCTTGTGATCTGGCAGAACCCACCGTGTTCCCCATCGAGTGCCACTTGAAAGACGTTTGACTCTCTGACTGAAAGTACACTCGAAATTGTCAAAGACGCCCTCCCATTTTCGGGGAGAAAAGTGACCGACTGAAACAGGTGGCCGTCTCATACATTGCCATTATGTTTTTATTTTAAAATGCGTAAAAAAAACACGGGGGGGGGGGGGGGTGATATTTTGTACGGGTGATTATCTCAAGGCCCACCGCAGAGGACATGGGAGGCTGCGCTCCGAATCAGGGGGTCTTCACCAGCGTTCGCTTTCGGGGGTGTAGCCAAGAGGTTGTCCTTCCTTCTATTCTACGATATCATGTGGGGTCTGATCTTATTCTGAGAGACAACATGCAGACAGATCTCTACAGAGAGGAGAGAGAAAGAAACGGAAAGAAAGAAAGAAAGAAACGGAAAGAAAGAAAGAAACAAACAAAGAGAGAGAGAGAGAGAGAGAGAGAGAGAGAGAGAGAGAGAGAGAGAGAGAGAGAGAGAGAGAGAGAGAGATTTCTGAGAAGAAATGATTTCAATGAAGATTTTATCCTGATTGTTGATACTAGTCAATAAAGCTGTATAAAAAGTATGTTCTTTGGATTCCCGCTTTGTTCTTAATAGGTCTTTAAAATGTTGAAGTGAGTTATTTCTTTCTCTCTTACTTGTCCCCTGCATTAAAATACTGTCATCGTTTGGACGTGCTTTTCTATCAAGTTCTAAGTGTTTTTGGAGACTGGATGGTTGGTGGTTGCTCTGGTGTGGTTTGCTCCTCCTTTTCTATCAAACATCAGTCTGGGGTGCTCTCGTGGCCTAGAGGTTAAGGTGTTGGCCTCTCATTCAAAGGTCCGGGGTTCGAATCCGGGTAGCGACCGAAAAATTTTCTTCTTTAAAATTGTCTCCTTTCACCTCCTTTCCTGCTCTCTAGCAATAATCTGTCGTCTGCTTTCGTCTTCTCTTTCTGCCCTCACCCCCTCACCTCCTTTGCCCCCTCCTCTGGGCTCCTGACTCTTTCTGCAGCCTTTCTACTGCTACTCCTTGACTCCTTCTTACAGCTGTCTTTCTGCCACACCCATGATCTTCTGGAAGGAAAGATCTACACCTAGCCTTCTCGGACAAGGGCGAAAAATCTCGGAGGGCCCATGTGCAAGTTGCGCACGT